TTGAAGGGCACAACTCCAGTAACAACAGGAACACATTCAATTGGTAGGTAGATAAACCCTTTGTTCCTTTTTCCTTTCTTGTTCCACTTCTCTGCATGAAGACTTCAATTTGTTGCTTATCAATTATCGGCATGTTATCAAGAAACACAGAAAACTTAAAAGAACTATCGAATTCACCAAAGAATTTCAACTTTCATCGGTTACAAAACATTTATCAATCAAAAATAAAGATTTCTAAAAAAAAGGGAAAATGGAACTGAGAAAAATTGTATATAACTATAAACACATGGACCCAGAAAGCAAGTATAAATTCCAGAAAAGAAAACAAAAATCAAACCCCAAATGAACAAAATTCCCAGCTAACACAAGAATAAATAAATATATCCAAGTGCATGCAATTCACGATAGTCAGAAAAAGAAGCAAAAATGTAAAGATAAAGCAAAAACGAGAAGAAGATTCTATTGGGATTAGAGAATTTTCTACCAATGAAAGCGACGACTGGAAATAACCATAGAAATCCAGCTGCGAGTATGAGACCCTTCTGAGAGACCTGGGGTGATAGAAGAACAGTTAAGTCAATGCGTTTCTTTCTTTTTTCTTTTTCTGTTGGGTTTATTTCTTTATTTATATATTTATTCATTTATTTTTTTTCATTTTTTTGATTTGCAAATTAGTGTGCATATACTATGCGATGTGGTAACGAGTGTGGTCTGATATCAAAATTTATTCCAAATAAATATTTTAGTTGCATCACAATATAGTTTTCAATCAATTTTTTATTTTTAATTATTTTTTATTTCACATATATTATATTTTAAAAAGTATAATAGTAATTATTTTAATTAAATTTTAAATAATTTACTATCCAAACACAGTGATCAATATAATTGTTCTCTATTTTTCAAAAAAAAAAGTGGATACATACTAAATATTGAAATGGGAAAAAAGTCCCAATGGCTCTCAAACTTTTAACTACATAAGGTTTTAGCCTTCAATATTAGGAGTAAACTTTTGGCCATCGATCTATCAATAGTGTAAATTGTCGGGCCTTCTTATGAATTCCAGCCGTTTATGTGCGACGAAATGAGGACATTTTTGTCTGTTCAGGAATATTAATCTAATATCCAAAGTATCAATTGACACCTCAACCAAAATGAACATTAACTCACAAATATACACTGAAAAAACTCCAGAAATCCCATTTTTCCCATTCTCTTTTTAATGTTTTCACACAATTTAGTGGATCTGAAACCAAACCTTATGTACCTCCTCCTCTGTGTGCTATTCTCCATGTGAAATTGAGTGAGAGAGACAGATAGTAATAAGACAAATATTCAGCAATAGAGAGAGGAGGTGGCGATGGATCTATGCAATTCATGCTTTCTTCTTTGTGCTTGCTTTTCTGCTTTCTCATCTCTGTATCATGCTTCTATCAAAGGATGGGTCTCTTAAGAAAAGGAAAAAGATGAAGGATGGGTTTCTTAAGAAAGTGAAGGATTCAATCAAGATAATGGAAAGAAGATCAAAGAATCATTAGATTTGGAAACCCACTATGGATGTCATCAAACCATCAGCTATTGTTCTTCTTTTACTTTGAAGCCACAATGCTTACTACTTTTACCTTCTAGGGGTCACCCTTAAAGAGTTTCATATGGTATAAAATTAATGATTGTAAATATGTTGATTTTATTTGTATTTGTAAGATTCAAAAAACCCATTTGTTGGTTTTATAAGTTATGTACATATCTGTGTTAAAGAGTGACTTTTAGGCTGTAAAATTTGAAATTTTGAAATTTCTTAATTTTTTAATTTTGTCCTTTAAATGGGCGTTCTAGGATTTGTTGCATTTGGATAGCATTGTTAAAGTTGAGGAGAAGTTTGATTTTACAGATTTCATTAGAGAAAATGGTTTTATTTTTTAGTAAGAGTTTGAGTTTATTGTCGTTTACTCGATTAATATTTCTATATGGACAAGAATGCTCATTTCCGTTACTCATAACGGCTGGAATTCACAAAAGGGTCAACAATTTACACTATTGATAGATCGGGAATCAAAAGTTTCTCATAATTATTGAAGGGCTAAAACTTTATCTGGTTAAAAGTTGGAGGGACATTGGGACTTTTTTCCCTATTGAAATTGATTTGCGGTTTGTTTTACTACACTACTACTATTCTACTGTCTCATCGCTAGAATAAGAAATGACATTCTGTGGCCACCAAATTGTTAACCCTAGTATGGAATTCTGGTAGAGTACTTGAAAATGTGTATTTAAATTTAGTTTTTTTTTGTGTTAACTGGGAAACACCAATATGTGTGCAGCCACCCAGGGGCCCTTTCCAAATTTTGTTTTACTCTGTATATTTCACAACTATTGTCATAATTGAATTTTTGTGGTCAAATTGGACAACTTTCAAACTCCAACTTTTCCAGGTTTCTTAACCTTTATTTTCTTTTAATTGACTGGTTTTGTTTCTATAGTATTCTTAGACTTGATATTTTCGAGTCAAATTGGCATTTTTTGGAACCTTATGTTACATGTGTCTTTTGTAAATTTTTTTTAGGGTAATTTCCTGTGTGTAAGGTTGTTTTTTATGAAAACTTTAAGACTGTTCAAGTTTTTTCTTCTGAGAACAAATGTATTGACATGTTTTGTTGATTATTATTTGGCAGTAGTGAAATTGTTGGAGGGAAATGAACAATGTAATTAGTAGGGTGTATATGGCAAGATGAGGTGCAAAGCCGCATAGGAGATATTGCTTTGTAATTTAACAATGAGGATATGTCTTAGTTCTAATGCTTTATGGAACTTTCTTTTTGATCGGTAATAGAAGAGGTATAAACGTACAAAACAAATCTAAGATTTGTATTAACATTTTAGCTAACAAATGCTCATTGAGAGGGGCCTTGGATGTTAATAGTTTAACAATTAATGATAATTTGGAAAAATATTTAAATATAGAATTGTAATAATTGTGATTGTGTGAGTTAGGTGTAATTTTAAGTCTACTAACAAGTGCCCATTAGAAAAATCCCTCTTTTAATAAAATTATAAATAAAATTCCGAGGCTATTCTTTTATATAGTTATAGTTATTCATTTTAGAAGTTTAGTTTATACTTTATTTAACATTGAAAATTGATTAAGAGCTATGAGATTTAGCATTTTAGTAGAAAAAATAAACAAATGAATAGTTTGTCAATTGGGAACTAGAGGCAGTCCAAGAGTGCATTTATCGGCAAAGATGAGTTATCAACATATAAGACTAACAGCCGAAGGATGGTTACTGTTCATAAGTTTTCGTCGTCCTCACGTGCCGAAGGAAGGTCCTCGCGTGCTACTGTATTATTATTTTCGTCTCGGCTCTTCTCGTCGTCTCGTCTCATCTCATTAATGCACCCACATGCTTTTCCATTTTTTTTCCCTCCTCCGCCTGCTCTGGTTCTTTCTTAATATCTTCCCTTTCACCTCTTTTTCATCTCATCTCATCAATGCACCCGCATGCTTTTCCATTTTTTTATTATTACACGATGGATTTTATCCTTTGGATTTATGGCCTCCGTCCTTTACCTGAGATTTCTTCTCTTCTACCTAGCAATTGGAGGTATCTCATTAATGCACCACGTGCTTTTCCATTTTTTTTCCCTCCTCCGTCTGCTCTGGTTCTTTCTTAATATCTTCCCTTTCACCTCTTTTCATCTCATCTCATCGATGCACCCGCATGCTTTTCCATTTTTTCGTCCTCCGTCTGCTGTGGTTATGAATGAGTGTGCTGAGAATCTTTTTCTTATTAATTGGAGTAAGGCGTACTACACAATGGATTTTATCCTTTGGATTTATGGCGCTCCGTCCTTTACCTGAGATTTCTTCTCTTCTACCCAGCAATTGGAGGTACGATTCCTTGTTCTCCTTCCTATCTCAGTTTTTGGCTCTTCCTTTTAATGATTGTGATATTTTTGTAGGGTTCCTCTCCCAGCTGTTTGCGTTCTTCAACCTTACTCTTTTGTCGGAAATTTCTTCTGTGCTTTTTTCCTTTTTTTTTTGTTGTATTTTCGCTTGCATGCTGAATTTACAGGTGTTGTTCTTGTCTTTTATTTTCTAGGCTTCCTCTTCTAGCTATTTGCGTTCCTGCAAAGGTTGATCTTTTGTCGGAATTTTCTTTCTGTGCCTTTTCCATTTTTCCCCTCTTTGCCTATTTTACGATTGTTGTTCTTGTCTTTTAATTTTTTTGCGTTATTTTGTTGTTTTCGGGTAACCTTGTGCATTTGTCTTCCAAATCTGCGTAAAGGTACTGTTTTTTTCCCCTTATTTTTTTTGTGATCGCCTTTTCGTTTGAGTTGTCTTTTCTTCTCCTTTGAACCGGTCTTATCTGCCTTTTTGTTTTGCAGGAATGGCAACTGCTGCTGCTTCCACTGTTAGTTTTGAGCCCAAGCTTGGTGCCATTCCATGTGAGCCTTTTGACGAATCTTCAGGTTTTTATGTTTATAGGTTTTGTCTTAGTTGCCTTTGGGTGTGCTTGTCCTATATATTTATCTTATTACTGCTATTGCTTCAGCCGTTGCTGCTGCGCTTAAGCTTCTTCGCATATCAAATGTCTCTGAATCTACACGTGGTTGGATGACCTTGGTTCATGTTGTTGAGGCTGATCGTGTAAAGGTTGCTAGCCATGGATCGATTTCGAAGTCGTTCCGTTATAAGGATTTCTCTCTCCAAACTTTTCTCTTATCTCAATTCTTTGCGATCCTTTCTCTGTTTCTGTAGTTTCTGCTAGGGTTTTTTGTGCGCCACTCTCCCTCTGTTGGTCTGCTGCTCCTCTTTGTTCTCAAAAAAATTTTCTGATCTCTCTTTTCCTTCTTATTATCTTATCTCTTTCTCTTTCCTTTTATTTCCTTCTTTCCTTCTTCATTATCTTATCTCTTTCTCTTTCCTTTTATTGATATTCATATTTGCTTCTATCTTTTTCTTTAATATTATCTCAAGCAGATCTGCATTTTTTTCATTAGAAATACTTAATATAGAGATTGACGGTGAATAAAGCTCCATCGCCATCTTAGTTGGCTATTCCTATACTCAACATTGGTAATTCTATGATTTTACTTCCTTGTGTTTTTTTCTTTTTTTTTTAATTATTGTAACTGATTTAAACCTTTCTTTAGAATGAAAATGTGTTGCAACTAAAGATGATTAAAGCCCCATGACTACAATCAGCAGCTAGCCATATCAAGCAACATGCTCTACCATCGGTAATCCCTCCTTACTTCCTTTTTCTTGAAAAAAAATTATATTATGGTGATATGCTCGAATTCCCCCTTTTTCTGACATTAAGCAGCATAGAAACAATGCACTTACGGAGTAATAATTTTAAGAAGTAGAAAAGTGGGTTGTTCGATGGACTTTTGAAAAAAATGTTACTGCGATGATGCTTTGTTTGACGCTTGAATCAACTATTGTGTATGACAAGAAAAAAGGCTGATATTTTAGAGAGAGAGATTTCCCACAAAGAAAAAATGAAATTAAAGTCTGCGCACTCAATTATTTCAAAATTATTATTTATGTACAGTTCACATCTTTTCTATTTCTTGTTCGATATTTGGTAATTGAGGGTGTTTGTGTTTTTGTGGAGTCTTCGTTTAACATCCATCACCTTGATTTGAAGGTGACCAAAATTCTTTGTTTGGTTTTTCTATTATAATTATTTGACTGGGGTTTTCTAAGTGTTTGCAGTTCATTTGATTTGAAATTTTGACTTTAATGTTTGAACCATTTGGCACAGATTACATTGTTACTCAATTCCTTATTCTGTATCTTAATTTTCCCAAGTGTTTTTTTGTTCTTTCCTCTGCACACATTGTGCTTGTGAGACATTGGCTAGGTTTTACTTGAAAAGAATCTAAAATTAGGCATTTATTATGACATGACAATAATGCTATACGTAGTTCACTTGCTTGAACCCTGACTTCAAGAAAGTTGGATGGTAAAGAATACCTATGTCAGGTGAAGTAATTCTCTTAAAAGCTTTTTATTTGATGCCAATCAAAATGGACTGTTATTTTTATGAATTGATTGAAGCACTTGCAATGTACTTTAATTTCTTTTTTACTAAGTTTGCATATGTTTAATTTCATTTTCTATTGATCACATTAGATTAGATAGATAGGCAAATCTAATGTGTCGTTGGCCTGTGGTGCTTGTTCCCTGTGTTAAATTTCTTTTTTTATCTTTGAGTTCATTTTTTTATGTTCATTTGCTTTTTCTTTCTCACCTGATCTGAATGATTGTGGTTTTGTGTGTTTTAAGTTTTATGCCAATTTTGTGTTTCTAAAGTTCAGGAATTCTTGATTTATTGCTATATAAATGTGCCTTGTAGGCTAGCTGTATTGAGACTATGGTAGATGGTGTCCAATTTGCTTGCAGATTTTGGTATTTGGCGTTAGTTTCTTGTGACCCTTTTTTAATCTTTTTCTTACTGATGTTTGAACCGTGCCTTGATTTTGTTTTTCCTTTTTTTTAATCCAGTAAGATAAGTCTATGATCGTCTTAGAGAGTGCTTTTCAAGAGACATATTTAAACTTCCTCACTATAAGTGTTCACTATGTGCAGGAGAATAACAGCACATGTGGGTGTTATTTACTTATAAGATTAATTACAAAACATGCTTTTTTTTAATTACAAGTTGTTTCCAGATTTTCAAACTAAAGTAGCTGCAGTACAACTTTTTCACTTAATTAGTTCATGCTCTAAAGTTTTGGTCTTTTACTAACCAATTTTAGGTTCAATCTAGATAGCCACTCAACCTAATTTTTTGGTTTGTTGAATGCAAGGCCAAGGTATTTGCTCATGTATGCCAAAATGCAGGTTTCATTTTAGCTAATGAATCTTTAATTCACAGGTCTACAATGTTGCAGGATTACTGAAATTTTGTTATGCCGATGGTTATCATATACATATTAGGAGATGAACACAAGGACTATAATATATAGAGGAACACACAGATCATTTTCTATGGTTGAGGTGATATATTGTTGGTTAAATGCCATTTGTTAGGTTTATTTAAATGCACATACTAGCAAAGAATGTTAGGTTCTTCTATGCCTCAACTCATGCCTTTATTTTGATATTAAGAAATTGTTAATGAATGTGAAGTTTAATGAATCTGATTCAATGCCTGTAGTCTACCAATTTTATAACATTATTTTTGCGTGCATTGAAGGTGCTCTTAGGTGATATCGTATTTTCCAAGCGCCAAAGGGTCTAGCCATTTCTTTTCCATTTTTTTCTCTGAGTTGGACTTTCAACATATAAGACTTAGAGCCAAAGGGGGTTCTACTGTTCCAACTTTGGTTCATATCTGTGTAGTTATGTTTGGTTGAGCATACACTATATTATTTAATTGAAGTGAAATTCTATTTAAGAATACTGATTATGTATCTGTGTAGTTATGCTTGGTTGAGTATACACACTATAATTCTCCCTATTAACTTAAAAGTTAATCTTAACTTAATATTCTTCAATTTTATTAGTGGTAGGGATGAAATGGTAAGCATTAATGAAATGGCCGATATGGTTCTCAGTTTTGAAGCCATCCATCCACATTGCACTGGGTGTTCAAGATTGTAACTCAAATTACACTCTCAACAAGGAAAAACTTGGTTAGGGCTTCAACTATGATATTGAAGGTATTTATATTGAGCATTACATGGTCAGGCTTCATAGATTCCAAGCTAACTTTTACTTTCTTAAAACCTTGATTTCATTTGTTGTGTTTTTGGTTCTTCACTGGTATAAATAGGATGATAACTAACTGTTCCTATTGTAATTTTAATAGGATGGGCTTATACTTACATCTAAAAGGAGAAAGCTGATCGTGTAGATTTATCATGGGACTTCTTAGGCATTCAAAACCTTGGCTCAAGTGCAATTTGGCTCAGTTTGTGTTGCTGATGCGACTGACGAGTGAACTCATAGTTGTTTATGCTTAATGAAGTGAATTTCTGTTACATGTAATTGTTATAGCAAGTGTCAAAATAGAGAAATGTAACATAATAGTCTTCTTTTTAGCTACTAAGGCAAACTGTATATGCTGCCTGTGTGTGAAAAGGGTGCAAGTTTTCTCATACTATTGTATCTAGCTTTCTTTGACAAGTTTGTGATGATTTGAGGCCGTATATTAGATTTTGAAATGCTTGTCATGTTGTTGATGTGCATTAGTAATTGGCCTTGTGTTATCTAACGAAGTCAATTTCTTTTTAGTTTTCAAATTATATACATATTACAAATGCTTTATGGGCATTCATGGTAAATTGTCACGCGCGGTCCATGCCTCCTAGTATTAGATAATGACCAGTAGGGGTGAAGTCTTTGCATTGAGATGATAAATTTTATGATTAAATATGTCATGATGTTATTACCATTTTCTTTAGGCATCTATTGAAAACAATAGAAAACACAAGAAATATTTTTCCTTTACCTTGTTCATTGTTGTAGGCAATGGATTTTACATCAGAAACTATTTTTTTATTTAATTTGACCGATAATGAAAGATTAAGACCAAGTTGTCGTTGTTTCACACCCAAAAAAAAAAAGTCATGTTTCAAAACAAGGATTAGATGCAGAAAATTATCGAATAAACTGATGTATTAAAGCAATTTTTTTTCCCTTAAAGTAATTAGTGGAGACTATTGATATGTAATCTAAATAGAGAAATTGGACAAACTAGTCGTATGCTTAAAACATATATAATAATGAGAAAAAATGGAGTTTTCTAGTGCAATGCCAAATGATGTTTAAGCAAAAATTATGTCTTATTCAACTCAACAAATTTTGAGATGACCATTTAATCATATTGTGTTTTTAAAATAAGGTTGTAGTTTGAATTGGAAGAGAAAAAAATCAAAAGAAAAAAATGAGGGACTAAAGAAGGAAATATAAGTTAAAAACTTCACGATTTAATGCTGTTTGAAGTTGAGAAATATCTTTTAAGCCATAATTAAGAAAATAGAATGATCACAATAAGTTCAAAGAGAAAATGCAATTTTGGTCCTATATGTTTGGCCTGTGTGCTAAGTATTGGTTCCTATTTCACTATTTTGATTTTGTCAAATTTAGGACAATAATGAACTAATGCCTAAAGAAAAAATAAAAGTGATGTTAGTTAAGAATATTAATTTTGCATTTTTGGTCTTAGTATTTGGAGTTTGAATCATTATAGTCCCTTAATTTTAAAATAGTGATATTTAAGATTTTAGGATGAAATTTGATCTAATTAGAATAGAATTCTATTAGTAATGTATAGAAGATCTAATAATGAATAATGAAAATCATCGAAAAGCAAATAAGTATTAAACCTCTTTTTCTTCTATTTATTCATGCCATTAATTTCTCATTTTCTTTTTTCCTTTTGCATAGTTGGTCTCAATTTGGCATAATATATGTATTTACTCTTGCACTATGAATAATTAATTAATAATGAAATTTATCATTTTTTACTTACGTTTGATAATTAAATATATATCGAGTATCTTTTTAAAATACAAGGAATACATATTACATCAAAATTAAGTGATCAGCTAATAGTCTTTTTATTTTTGCATTTATCAATTAAGCTTCAAATGAAATAGGTATGTTTATAAAATAGTCTAAAGTATTTAAAATTATCAATGCATAACAACTTTCATTAAGTATTTTAAAGCTTCATCAGCCGAAGAGATTTTAGAAAGACAAAAGAAAAAGAAGTTCTTTCACAAATGCCTAGATGTATTTCATAATGTTACTTACCTCCACTAGTTATTATAATTACAACTATTTGAAGTTTACATTGACAAACCATACAACAATTTAGGTAAATGGTAGTTAGAACTAATTTTTTTAACATTATATTAAAATTTGTTCCTTTTTCACTAATGTTATATTATACATTATCAATGTATCATAATTCAATTTTAAGAAGTTAAAAAATTGACTATAACTATTTGAAATTAAGGTTCCATATTGATTGGAAACACCATATTGAATTTAACTATTAACTATTGTGATTTTTCTAGTTGTCATGAATTTGCCTAAAATCTGGAACTTTAATGATCACATTTGTTTTTGTCAAAGATTAGGACTAATTTGACACACAAGTCAAACATTAAAGACCAAAATTGCATTTTTTTCACAAATTAAAAAAGTTTTATAGGCCAAGCTGTATAACTAATGGTTACTGTACAAACAACCTTAATTTTGTTGTTTAACACCAAGTAGAATAGATGGAGAAGAAAGGTTTTAATTTTCAAATTTTCTTTTGATCATGTGTGTTTCGCTTCAAATTTGAAATGACAACAAGAAGAGTGAGTGGCTTTTGTTGCCATCAAATTTGTTCTTCTAGTTACAAAGCAGTACAGTGTAAGACTAGGGATAAATGACAGTGTAAGACTAGGGATAAAGGACACACTCAGTATGTGTGCAATTTTAGAAATAATGGTTTCTTATATAAACTTATTTTACATAGGATTTTTTTATTTTTAAATATAACTCTGATGTTTTAAGTTTTTGTTCTTTAAGAGTATAATTATATGGTATGTTTATGGGTAGTTATATTGGGAAGATATGCTTTGGTAGTTCAATAAAAATAAGTCATTTTCAAGGTAAAATTTAGAACTTTGTGAGATAAAAATGAAAGTTTATAAAGTGATAAAAAAGATGTTTACATCAAAAACTAAAATCTCCTATATATATTATAAAATATCTGAATTCTAAACTTCGGTACATCACTGGTGGTTCTTTTTCCAACTTTTTAAGTGCTAAAGACAAATTCTTCATGTTTCATATTGCAAGTGATAAATCATTGGATAGAATCTTATAAAAATAATATTTATCAGGAACAAATAACACAAACATGTTTTCTTGACACAAAAAGAAGCATATTAACACGACTTACTAAACAAATTGATTGATCAAAAAAGAAAAAAGTAGATCCAGTAGAACATTAGCTTGAAATAAGAATAAGAATATTAGAAAAATAAAGTAGACAAATTAGAAGATTCTCAGGTTTACTATGCTTTGGGGGAATTAGGGTTTTGTGAGAACCCAAAAATTTTCACATTTTCTCAGCATTTTTTATTTCTTTGCCTACATTTTATACTTTCCTTGGAAATATTAAAATTTCTATGCATTTTTACAAGCAAGTACAGTTTTAAATTCATTTTACTGTATGAGTTAGTGTACGTTAATTTGAAATGCGTTATAGACATGGGACCCGCTAGTGCGATATAAGTTTGGTGACAAAGTGATTTTTGTGCTAAGTGTTATTATTATACAAGGTGCTAGAGGATAAGTAGAGGTTTGTTATATGATGTAACCATTGGAAGCCAAAGGATTAGAGAAAACACTAAAAGGGCCAAGTGTTGCAAACCCATTGGAGGCTGGATTTTGACCTAATTTTCACCTTTACTAAAAACCAAATTTTGACCCAAAATATCTTTATTTTTCTTGCTTCTTGGCCGACTTTCTTGAGGGGAGAAACAAGAGAGAGCTCTTCAATTTCTTGCTTCCAAACTTGCTCAAATCTTGAGTTGTAGCCAACCAAAATTGAAACTACACCAAACAAGTGCTTATTAAGGAAGGTTGAAGGAGTTGGTGGAGTGATTGTGGGAGGAAAGATACTAAACTACCATTTTTCTTGAGTTTCCAAGGTATTTTGCCAAGAACCTCCTCTTTACTTCAATTAATTGCTAATTAGAGGTTTAAAGTTTTTGTGATTGTGTCATCATATTAGCTTCCATTTCTCCAAGTGTGTGAAGAAAAGTTGCTGTTTTGTTTTCATTTTTGCTCACCTGCTGTTGTTTTATGCTGGTTCACTAAGCTGTTAAGAAGATTGCATTCCTCTGACTGCATTTTTGTTACTTGTTTGGATGTTAAAAATTCTGTGTTTTGTCACTTGGGTCAAAGTTTTAATGTGTGGTTGGGATTTTATGCAAAAAGAAGTTTACAAAAATGAAACTCAGAAGAAGATTGGCAAAGACCTGAGAAACTTTCGTTGCAGAAGAGCTTTCCTCGTATGCATGCATGGAAATTTTTGGAGTTTTCATTCTAACCCCTCAAGTCTCCCCTTGTTTCATTGTGGCCCAGTAAATTGAACAAACTAATCAATTGTATCCTTTTAATTTATTATTTTTCTTCTTTGATGTGCTTTAATGTGTTTTTGGATAGATTATGGGATGAAATTGGTGGGGTTTAATAGTTTTTTTTTTGAAAGATTTATGATTTTGATTTGGATTTTTAGCGAAATTTTGGGATGAAATTTTCGGGTTGGATTTTGATTTGATTTGGTTTTTCCTTTTATGATTTTGATCCTTGATTGTTTTAATTTCTTGAACGTAGGTTGTTTACATGACTTAATTGATTCAATTTCATGTTTATTTTCATCTTTTATGGTTATTTGTTAATTAAAGCGATGCCTTGACCCTTTTCTTTGTTTTTTTGGAGGGTAAATAAGCAATTTCACTTCATTAGGGCCCCAACTCAAGGGAGGTACACCCTATCCCTTAGTTTCTTACTTTATTTGACCATATGTGTTTATGTGATTTATGTGGTCAATTGCATGCCTTTTGAATGTTTT